CTGTCAGCAGGTGAAGGCAGAGCATCAGAGACCAGCAGGGACACTTCAGCCTTTACCCATTCCAGAGTGGAAGTGGGCAGACATTTCCATGGATTTTATTGTGGGGTTGCCGAAGTCAAAGAAGGGGAATGATTCTGTTTGGGTGATAGTGGACCGGTTGACGAAGTCAACACATTTTATTCCAGTGAGGACCACTTATACAGCCGAGGCTTATGCGAAGATCTTCATTCGGGAGATAGTTCGACTTCACGGAGTTCCGGACACGATCGTATCGGATCGAGGATCGGTTTTCACTTCATATTTTTGGAGGAGTTTCCAGGACTCATTTGGCAGCAAGGTATCTTATAGCAGTGTATTCCACCCCCAGACGGATGGTCAGACGGAGAGGGTGAATCATGTGTTGGAGGACATGTTGCGGGCATGTGTCATTAACTTCCAAGGTAGCTGGGAGGATCATATTCCATTGGTAGAATTCGCTTATAAAAACAGTTATCAGACAACAATCGGTATGACGCCATATGAGGCATTGTACGGGAGGCCCTATAGATCACCGATATGTTGGGCAGAGCCAGAGGACAGCTTGATGCTTAGGCCAGACTGGGGAGGCAGACTACCGAGAAGGTAGCATTGATCAGGGAGCAGATTCTAGCTGCTCAGAGTCGGTAGAAGAGTTATGCAGATAAGAGGCGAAGACCCTTGGAGTTTCAGGTGGGAGACTCAGTCATGCTAAAGGTATCGCCTATGAAAGGCGTACAACGATTTGGGCGACGAGGGAAGCTTGCGCCGAGATACATTGGACCATTTCAGATTCTGGAGCGTGTTGGAGTTGTGTCATACAGACTAGATCTTTCAGCATCGATGTCTAGTATACACAATGTATTTCATGTTTCTATGCTCAAGAAACACTTGCATGATGAGGAGCAGCAACGAGTATTAGATGCACCAGAGATTGAGCTTCAGGAGGATTTGACTACTATTGAGGTTCCGATTTGTATACTGGCCAGGGAGGACAAGAAACTCAGGAATAAGGTGATTTCCTTAAAGTTTGGTGGAACCGAGGAGGCATTGAGGAGATTTCTTGAGAGCGCGAAGAGGACATGCGTCGCGACTATCCACACTTAGTTGAGCAGGTAAATTAATTCTTATTATATTATATATCTTATTTTATGTTTATATCTTTGGTTATGTTTACATTTAACGCTAGAATGAAGATATTTTCGCTTAATTTTTAATCTTTTGGAACACATTGTATATGTATGGGGGGTTCCTTGTTTAGATTTTTCGCCCGATGTACTAGTTCCACTAGATTAGGATTTGAGCGAGAATATTATCATTTTAGATCGTTAAGTATAAATATCTCTATATGTCATCAAGAAATTCATATTTCGAGATGCGTATGATTTCCGAATTTCGAGGACGAAATTCTTTTAAGGGGGGAAGAATGTAAAACCCCAAAATTTTATAATAAAAATGTGTGAATAAATAGTAATAAATTTTTCTTTTGTGATAAATAATCATATATATAAGATGTATATGTTTATCAGTGTTGGGAACCCAACAGGTATTTATAAGTGAGAGAATCAGATGAATAGTCAAGCATGTCAATTTTCGAGCAGCTGGCATTCTTTGGGCTGCGCGGTCGACCGCGGCGGTCGACCGTGACGGTCGACCGCATCAGTCGACCGCATAGCGGTCAAAGAGTTTTTCTCAAGTTTGAGTTTTTACGGTTTTTGTTTTGGTCTTATCGGGTTTCGGGTCGGGTTAGGGGATTAGTATACATACTAATCCAACCCAGGAGAGCCTCTCTAGATCTGAGACCTAAAACCCTAGCCCCCATCTCTCCCCTCTCTAAACCCTAGCTGGATCTGGCGATTTTGGGAAGCTTGGAGGATTTTCAGGGGGTTTTCGCAGGTTAGATCGAAGGATGATCATCTTCAGGGCTTTCGTCAGCATCTAAGGCGAGTATCATCTCGCCCAATCCCTTACCCCTATTTTTTATGGTTTTCTTTTGATTTTTTATGAGTTTTTGATGAGCCCAAATGGTATTTTCGTATAAAATTGAGTTCTCTATAATATGGATTACAAGAACCAATGGTTTTAGTTTATAAAATTTCACCAATGTTCTGCTTAATAAAGATCTAGATCTGAGATTTGCCTAAACAAAAGTTAAATCATTTTTACTGTTTTTAAAACGTTTTTGATTGGTTTCTCATATATTTGGAATATTGGGAATGTAGATTTCAGGCTTGGGATTAGCTGTTTATCTTCTGTAGGATTTTTTTGAAACATTAGAACTCCTGTTATCGTAGAGAAATGTCAAATTTTATTTCAGGTTTCGAGCTGACAGAAACCCAGATTTGGGTTTCTGTCCGCTTGGCGGTCGACCGGGGCGGTCGACCGCTGGGCTCGCTGACCGCGATGCTCTGGCGGTCGACCGCGAGGCCGCAGCGGTCGACCGCCAGGCGTGTATCAGAGTGCGGTCGACCGGTGCGGTCGACCGCCTGTCTATTGCAAATCCCTGTTCTGTGTATTTTTGAGTATTTTACTCTTGTTCGAGGGTTTGCCTGGATTATCTGACTTTGGTTTTAGTCTTACTATGTACCCAGGCATGATGGATGATCTGAGGGTATAAATTGGGGACTCACACACTGATTTGAGTGGGAATTTATATAAGTAGATTTCACTATATATCACAGTGATATTTTTCACCATTTCACAGTCCTCGTGTTGGACTATAATCCATAGAAGTCCTCGTGTTGGACTATAATCCATTTCAGTCCTCGAGTTGGACATTTGCCACTTGTTCCATGAGTATGGAAACTACAATATATAGTTCATGTTTCGGACATAGTTCTTAACCCTGCATATGACTTTCTCACAGCAGTTCACGACATGAAAATTATGTAGATTTTGACATGTCACTTATGTAGATTTTAACATGATATTCGTGTAGGCTATGATATAGCACTGCACTTATGTTCTGAGATTAGTTGAATTTTTTTATCATTATTCCTGTATTAGAACCTCGGGCTTAGTGATTTGGGGTTTACAATTTGAGATATAAGGTATATACATGAGGGTTTTCTTGTTTGGATTATTTCGCTCGACGTACCTATTCTCGTGTTGTAAATTTCTAATTACTAAAACCCTATTTAGTAAGATCAATGAGTTTAGATCTATTATATATTATCTGTATTTTCTTATACAACGAGCCCTGTTCCCTTGGGGCTGGTTGTGATGTTACTCGCTAGCGCTTTGATGCTCGTTGTCCCTCCCCCTTTCAGGTAACGAGCCAGGAGCCCGGAAAGTCGCAGGTTGATGGTGATGCATTTTAGCTTCAGCCGTCTATTTAGTTATATATTTTCTTTTGGAGTTCCACAGTAGGCTTTTGTTTAGACATTTGAGAGTCTTATTCTAGAAGTTGTAAAGGCGGTGTGCCTTATTTCCTCTTGTCAGACATTTGTATTTGAGACTTGTTAAGTATTCCAGTTATCTATTCAGATATTGACTATGTATTTCTGTATGTTGGATGATGAGATATTAATGTGATCACTGTCACTTCATCGGTTACTTCTTGCACTATCTTTTACTTGCTTTTGTACCTACACCTATTGTTGACTCTACTAGAGGGATGTTAATTGTGATGGTGAAACATGTTATTACACGGTGTGGTGCATGGCAGGTTTGACATTCTTGGTTTCACCTTGGACTGCAGCTTTGTGTGAACCCAGGGACGTCACAAACGACCCTCGGTCAAGCGACCTCCTTCTCGTCGGCACGAGCTTCAAGAAGGCTTTGCGAATTCTTCTCGACTTTCAGGGAACCAGCAAATCGTAACAGTAAGTAAATTCAAGAGGAAGAACAGAGGAGGAGAAGAAGAGCTTGTTGTATTTCACTGTGTAAAACTCTTCGGGTTTTAGATCCTTTTATAGGGGAAAAACAACCGTTATTCATAAATCCCATAATTAACACGTTTTAATTATTCACATTTAAAATCCATAAATTTCGCCAATTAATACCAGCCGTTTTTCTATAATTTAGATCTGTCAATCTATCTCTCATTTAACACGTTTTAAAAATTAATCACGTTTTAAATTTGCTTCATGGTAAACACGCTTTAATGCTATCCGTTTACATTCATTTAGATCCTTAATTTCCGCCTATTAATTTTGCTAGCCGTTTAACAAATTTTGAAAATGTTACTCACGTTTTCTTTTTAATGCAAAAAGAAAAATTCAAAAGAAAATTAAAATGTAGCTGATTAAAGGCCCATTAATCCGGAGCTGCATTCGTGTCCGCTGGTCGTGTGCGCACGCTACCCGACCCGAGCCCGAGCCCGGCCCAATCAGCGCACGCATGTGTGGTGTGGAGCAGAACCTTTATTTTCTTCTAGGCATAGGAGAGAAAGGGAAAGCTTATAAATACCCTTCCTTCCTATTCCATTTAGGGAAAGCTTATAAAAACTCTTCCTTCCTATTCTATTTCCTATGTAGGACTAAACTTTCTCACTACAATATCAAGTTTTAAGTTATCTTTATTATAACTCCAACAAAAATGTCCCTTCTATCCTTTTAGCAAAGGATCTTGTTTGGATAAGAAGGGATTTTCGTCTTTTTTATATCGCTCTTGCCCCATAATTTATTAGAGTTGATGATGTTAATTTGGAGGATCAAATGAGAGAATTTCTAGTAAGATTTAATTGTCTATAAAAGTTCAAGGGGGTAATGTAATAACACCAAAGTTTAGGAGGAAGGGGTTAGTGCGAAAACCCAAGTGGGGGCTCCTGAAGTTAGGCCAGATAAAAAGAGAACAAAATGAAAAGGCAAAAATAATGATAATAATCCTATAAAAGTAGGAGATCTAGAATATTTCTTTACCAGTCATCTCATGTTGATAAATCTAGTAGAAAAACGAACGACATCTCTGCTGCAAAAACCTCAATATCTCAGATTGAAATCTATTATCATGCAAACATCTAGAGAAAATTTCATAAATCACCATCTCTGCAATCAAACACATATTACCCAATAACAAGCTATAATAAACAACCAACCCTTCAAGATGTACCAAAATTTGCCAAGTACTGCAACATCCTTTACTCCATATACAATAGATAAAACATATGACGCGTCTATTAATTATCCATCTATGGAAACATCAAAAAGAAACTATCTCCTCCCTGGTTATCCATTTGTCATCATGAATATTGGGTTTATCACCAACGCCATTTTGCCTATAACCAAATATGTAACTTTTTTTTAAATTTAGAAAATGGGTGCAAGAGAATAGACAAACATCCGCCTATTAGAATTTCCCCTTGGACTCTTCTTGTCTCTTCACCTGATTGTTATCTGTTTTTATCTCTATCAACACTTCCCAAAACATAGACCTGCTGGCTGTGATCTGGTATCATCTCCTTGGTTCTCCTGCATCCAATGAATAACTTGGTTGCATTTTCCATTATATGGTTCAGATGAAAGATATGACAAAGCACTCTGAGAACATACCTTCACCCTGTTAGACTTGGGGGTTCTCCAGCAGCAAAGCCCACTTTGAACAGGTTCTGACTCATAACCCCTGTAGAAGTACAGAGAATGAGCTTAGTGAAACATAATCATATACTGAAAAAGCCTACTTCATACAGATGGTTAAGTTACAAAAAAATAACAGTGAAATTCAAGTGGTAGGCGGATGCTGGATTGATTCATCTATCATTGAACCTTCATGCATAAAACACAAACATTTTAAAATCAGATAAGTTATGGCACATTGATACGCGTTCTTGAATTATATAGAAAAATACTGACAAAGGAACAGAAGTGTCATAGTAGATCATTCATCTGATATGCCAGATTAATTCATCTATGAATGAAGTTTCATGTAGATAGCTACACTACTCTGATATCAGATATAACCATTGCAAAGTATGCAGTTACAACATGTAAATGCTCATCAAAAGAAGGGAGGGGCTTACAAGCTTTCTCGGTCCACCTTGGCTCTGAAGCTGTTGCTGTGCAATAAGCTAGGAGAAATAGCATGATGACATCGCTCAAACCTCCCACCAGCTTGTCTCTGGTGGCAACTTTTACTGCCATCACTTTCAAGCTCTTCAATCTCATCACCATCTCCATCTTTCCAATGATTGAATGATATAGAAAGGTCCGTCAGAGACTTAATTTGGTTCAAGCTATTTGTACCATCTTGTACCAAATTGTGATTCTTCTCCTGTTTGGATTCAGTTAAATTTCTTGCTAATGCGGCTTCACTATTTTCTGCAGCCTGAAGCCAAGCACTCTCCAGCCTTTGTTCATCAATACATGTTTTCTTTCCCCTTTGCTCTCGATTATCAATTGTATCTTGGCTTCTTCGCGGCTTATCCACACTTCTTCTAGCCATGTCATAAGAAGCATGAATTCTACCAGGTTCAATGCTTTGGCTTTGTTTGCTGAACGGGGAGTCTGGAAATGACTTCAGAGACTTCAAATACTTTTCCGGCAAAAGACCCATTCTTACTTCTACATTGTGCCTCAGAACTAATGCAATGGAATTTGTGATGCTTCTACGAAATCTCTCAGCTCTGGATTTTATGTTGCTGTCACTAAAGGCTATATAAGCAATCAAAATACCTGCAACATGCAATTACACTTTAGACTTTAGCTTAGCGAAATGAGATACTGTACCAAATTTTATATGTTCTCTCACTATGGTGAGATTTAAGTTAAATATCCTGTTATTGGATGACTCAACTTCCTGGTCTACCTTAACTTGAATGAAATCAATTCCTACAACAGAAGTACACCAAGGTCTTTGGAATTCCTATTGGCTGAATAACAAGAATTATGAAACATTTTCTTGTAGTTGGTCTGAAAACAGAAGGATTCAATGAAATTCATAAATAATTTGAAGATGGCATCATGATTACCTCTAATTTCTGTAACAGATACCAACTTTCCATGAGTATGAAGCAAGCGTCTCAATCTTTCTGAATCACATTTTTCAATGCACCTTCTCCAGATTGCATCCAACTTATCTGGGTTCACCACGCTAGTGACATCATCTCTATAAGCTGTATCAGATAAGCTATGGGAAGCACTTATGCTGCTGTGAACACTGGCATTTCCAGGTACTGAAGCTGAACTTGATTCCCAAAGTCTTAATGAGGGATTAGACTTGTAATCAGATGATGAGGTTTCTCCAATCTTCTGCGGTGGAACTAAATCCAATCTTTTAATGCTCGGCCGACTGCTACTGCATGAAGGAGTGGGTTGTGGGCTATGACCAGAACCAATCTGAAGTAGAGCTGCTGTGAACCAAGTTGCCCGCTCACTTGAAAGTCTTAGCTGCTTTTCCGCACCAGAAAGAATTTTCAGTGCTCGTTGTAATCTCTCTGTTTCAGCTTCTGTCACTGTAATAATTTCAGGAAAATTGTCAGAAAGTCATCAAAAGTAATGAGCTTGCAGAAAATATTATAATAAGGAGCAGCACTAGAGTGAGCAAAAAGAACGAAAAAAGGTGTTAGCAATGGTATAGCACAAAGTAATAAGTCAGATCAATAAACAGTCTCCCTCGTGTGTGTGTGTGTGTGTCTTTGCAAGCACATGTGTGCGCGCTTCAAAAAAAGATACTTTTTTTCTTTATGCTTAATATATCCATACTGTGAAATGCTCTTCATTCCTAACTTCAGGATTTTCTGACAATTGTTGATCTGAGGTTCTTGATTATGTCTTGGGGATAGCAAACAGGCTTATAAAAAATTTCTTTTTCAGTGGAAAATCTGATCATGAATTGAAATTGGAGCACTCTATCCGGGCTTCTTAAAATAAGGTGGGAAAAGGCAACTACCTAATTATCCACTACGATAAAATGAAAATGGCAAGGGATATTTTGGATTCAGACTATGAGAAACTTTCAAACTTAATAATGAAAACTTTTCTTAACAGATTAAAGAAAAGCAGACGATCATGCATTTGATTGAGCCTGTAGTTCTTACATTTGCAGTGGTGAAAGCAATACCACTGCAATTTTATTTAATAATGGTAAAAATTAATGAAAAGATGGCAGATGAAGAATAGCTTAGTACCATGACATAATGCATTGCGCATGTCGCAGTGACATACATACTGGGGATGAAAGTAGTAATGCATATAGAGTGATAAAGAATACAATATGGAAAGCCATTTTAGAGAACCAATACAAAAGGAAGCACCTGGATGATCTTAAAAAGAGAAATCCATCGTTCAATGTTGACAAAACTTACCAGGTTCCTTAGTATATAGGATGTATGTTTACAGAAAATGGTGTCAAAGTGCAACGTACATGGAGGGGCGTTAATGCAAAATTCTAAAATCACTTTTGGGATCATGTTCAAGCAAATGATGCCAACTAGAATGTCTTAGAAATAGCTACCCACTAAAATCATTTTGTAGAAGAAGGAAATATGTCAAAATGGAAAAGAATCTACCAGATATTGTGGGATTATTTAAAGTTAAGAACAAATTAAGCATGACTAACAAATTAAGAACTAATGTACTACCACGTGGAAAAATCTTAAAGTTTCTTATGAAGGATAGAGATAAACAGAAGTGGTCCAAATTCAGGTCTAAGGCAGACAGGAAAGATGAGAAGAATTAAAATGGATACAGCAAAAGATCCAAAGACATTTTACTCTGAAGCAGGTGCGCATTATAAACAGAAATCAAATAAATACCTCACAAACCCAAATAAAAGACATTAAAATAGCAGTTTTATTTCTGTTGAAAGTATAAAATACTAGCTCAAAATTGGGCAAATAGATTTTTCATGTGTATGAGACACATAAAAAGAAGTAAGAAACTTAGTGTACTCACAACTTTCCCCAAAGAGAACAATGCTAGAGGATTGTGCCTTGGGCAGCCTAGATGTTCCAGCAATAGCATCCATAATAAGACTTGCCAACTGTGACATTAAGGCAACAGGATCAATACCAGATTCCATCAGCTCTCTGGACTTTTTCACTGTTTCTACTGTGTCTGATGACAGAGCTGTTATCAGAAGATCAAGTAAACTTTCACTGGAAACAACTCCCGTCTGGAAAATACAGATGGTCAGAAAGGCTTTATCAAGAGTAAACATCTAAGAACCATTACAAAATTAAGAATACAACTCTAAACAAGTCAACATACCAAAAGTAACAAACTGAAGAAGGAGATAAATTTTGAGGCTGCCCGGAATTTGTTTGTCAGAATAACAGCCTCTCATAGTGGTATCATAAGTTTCTAAAACCAATCTAAATTCCAGAATAGTTTTACTGTAGTCTTCATAGAGTAAAATGTCCATAGTTAAGGTTATTGCCCATACATGGGCATGGTCAAACACTTGCATGGTAATAAGTTTCATTACCTGAAATTTCTTCCAAATTAAATGCAATGTTCAATATCTGGTAAGGAATAATTCTTATAAAGTAAAATAAATTATTTATATTTTGAAAAAAAGATGGAAATTAAAAGTGATAATAATGGTACCTAATTGAAATCCCCACCAAAAATAGCTCACATTTATTTACTTTTTTGAGTACTTGGAACTTGGTCTTAATTCACAAATTTGCCAAAGTTAGCAGTTTCAAATGAATCGTGTCATTCCTAATTCACTAGGCAAAATCAAGAATCATAATCAGATTAAAAAAGAATTTAAGAGCAGAAGCAAGCAAGCACGTAGAGTTTGGAATATTAAAAGTAATGAACATTAGTGAACAATAGAAAATGGACTTACTAGGTCATTTACGAGAGAAGTTGTGATCTGTTTGCCCAGCAGACTCAACTGGCCTAGCATACTTTCTGCATCACGGAGAGAGCCATCTGAATTCGAAGCAATTATATCAAGGGCATCCCATTCAGCATCAAGGTTTTCTTCAGCAGAAATCTTTCTAAGTCGGAACACTATATCAGTCTCTTTGATCTTAGGAAAGACATATTTCTGGCACCGAGACATCACTGCACGAGGCAAACTATTCGGATCAACTGTTATGAATATGAAGATAACACGAGAGAGAGGTTCTTCAAGAAACTTAATAAATGCAGACCAAGAGTTGGAGGATAACATGTGGCATTCATCAATGACAATAACATTGTATCGTGAGAATTTTGTCCCAGTAGGCACTTTCTTCAACAGAAGCCTGAGCTTTTTTATTGTCTTTTTATCGGTGGCATCTACTTCTTTCATGATCGATCGAATTCCAGAGTTCAAGTTTTCACATTCGCTACATAACCCACATGGCCTATTTTCTTCTGTGGACAAACAGTTCAAAGCCGCTGCAAAAACTCGTGCAACTGAAGTTTTTCCAACCCCACGAGGGCCTTGGAAAAGATATCCAGGGGCTATTCTTCCTTTCAAGACAGCATTACTAAGTGATTGGACTACAATATTTTGGCCAACTATTTCATCAAAAGACATCGGTATGTACTTCTGACTCAAGCACACCGAGTGCGAGTGAAAACCCTCTGATAAGCCAAGTTCAAGTCTTTCATGGCTTCTGCAACTTGACCATCTCCTTCCATCTAACCTGTTCACAGCCTCCAAATCAAGCTCCCCAAAGTTACTTGCAAGCTCATCACTTACTGAGTCTGCTGAAGAACCTACTCCATCAAACTTGCTGGTTAACAAGGGCACATCCTGTGAAGATTTCGGCACAAAGTTTTGGTGACGAGAGCTTGATAATCTCCTTTTAGGGTGGACTGTACGGGTCCCGCAAAGAATGCTTCTTACCATTCTTCTTGGTGTATCAGAGAGTGAAGCTGAAGTGCAACTTCTTGAGCATGGATCTCTTGTTCTCTTTGGCAGATTACAAGGGACACCGCATATTTGGCTGTTATTATCCAGTTGATGCACTTCATTTCCATTGAAGGAAGCTGAACTTCGAAGCCGGTTGTTTGAGCTATTTGACGCTGGTGTACAAGAAACAGATGAGCATTCTCTTCTAGCACTTTTCAAAAGCTTGGTAGAATTCGACCAATTCCCACATCCTGATCTGGATAAGATGGGCGATGCACAATGAGAACAGGAGCCATTATTTTGAGTTGATTTATGTGTTAATATCTGCAATTCCTCTGAGCTGGAGTACCCAAAAGAGTTGGATGCAAGATCCAGCATCTTTGTGACTGATGCACTTTTCCTACTGTTGTTCCTCAAATAGACACCTTTGCTTGATTTTCTAGCAGTTTTCCTCACTGGAATATGTGGCTTCTTGCCTTTGACATCAGTAGTAACCAACGGATCCTCAAGACATGCATCAACTCTAGAGTCTAAATCCAATGTATTATTCATATTTTGTTCTGAACTATTATCCTGAAGAGATGTTTGCCTATTGTCCAAATCCAATTGAAATCCACTATCACTAGATTTGCTTGGATGATGTCGCCAGTTGTAAAGGTAAACCTTCTTCCTTCTCTTGTCATATCCTGAAGGTAACTCGACTGACCCACTTGAATTGTTCATGACTTTTTGATTTTCTGCATTCTCATTTTCGGAGTTCAAGGTCAAAGTCATATCAAGATGCGTAGAGCTTAATGGGGACTTCCAAGACGTATGAGTGTCTGGATCACGTAAACCTCGAGATTTTCCAAGGGCAGTAAGCTCCTTCGTTAAGTGAAGATTACTTGGACCAATGTAATTATCCATCATTTCCTTCTGACACTCTTAATCATGCTAAGGACTTCTGCTCAACTACTTTGCATACTAGCAGAGATCAATGTAATAAAAGAAATGGTAGAAGCCTAGATCTTCACTGCAGAGAGGAAATTTGGACTAATGGAAGCAATGTGTGTCACGAGCTAATACCAGTGCGTAAAATGCGTATTCTGTAAAAGTTAATGCATAAATGCATTGTTCAGTGGTCTGCAGTAAAAATAAGAAGTAATAAGATAAAGCTGCAGGAAATTGAGTAAAGCTCAACCTACATAATAAGATGCAGGAGTAAAAATAAGCAGTACTAAGATAAAGATGCAGGAAATTGAGAAAAGCTCAACATACATAAATTTATTTGGTTCATGTATGTTGAAATAAAGAGGACAAGGGGGAAAATGGAATTACCATAACTTCCAACATTAGTTAGGTTCTGAATAAACTGCTGACTATGAAATGATCATGTTTTATCTTTTAATGCAACAACAGTAAGAATAAGATCAAGCATTAACTCAAAATGCTTGAGGAGAAACAACATATCAAACATTCAATTTTGTATAGAAGTTCCAAACAAGCTTTAAAGTAAATTGAAATGCAAAGTAATGGCTTCCTTTTAATATGTATCACGGAGTCTGTTTCATATATGTTTCATATAGCTAGGCATCAAATCATTTATAACCCTGTCATTTGGAATTTTCTCATAAAATATACTACTAGAAACATCAGCCTTGGTATATAAATGCACAATAGTAAATGATCTACTATAAAAACGATCTAAGTCTGCACATCAGAGTAGAATGTAGATTGGCAGTAATAATGATGACTAAAAAGCAACTGTAAGCACAGAGCAAGCTGCTAAATTTAAATGTAAATGTGAAACAGAACTTTCATATAAAGTACAAGAGTTTCTAAGAAGCATGATCAAGTTTTATCCATCAAAAAGAGATGAAGATTAAAAAATAGGTGAATCAATGAATGCAGAATACCTTTCAATAACAATATTATGCAGGAACTAGGCACAAGAATTTAATAAATATTAAGTACACAATATTAGTATATGAACACTGATTAGAACCAATTAACACAATAAACAGTAATAACATACTGAAACTACCAAAGTGATACACATACAGACGCTCAAATAACAATGGTAATAATTAAAAGTTGATGCCTTCCAAGTACATAAGTACAATGGTTGTTCTGCAATACTCAAAGTATTCCTCAACTCGAAAGCAATATTTTAACACTGCGAACCAGAAATCTTTCACTTTGATCTACAATCAAATCTCCAAAACTGAACTTGAATAGGACTCATAATGGGCACTTGTCCAACAGGAACATGGAAAACCCCATCTCGAAATGAAGAAACTTTTAGTTTTAGGCTTTGTTGACAGGAGAACAGGGTATTTACACCATTTCCCTGGAATGGTCAAATATTCGAAGTAAATCGTAAAACAGCCAAAACAAGCCAATGTACAGTTAATGTTCAAAAAGTCATCTAAACACAGAAATCATAATCCAGGTAGAAGTTTGGCGTAGAAGTTTGGCATCAGGCATCCCAAGAAACCTTAGCAGAAAGGCCCAAAATCGATATTCTTTAAAAAAATGATAAACTCAACTATTTGCACTGCCATAAGAGAAAACAATTCATAAAATTTGAGAAGAAAATGACTTTTCAATGAGGGTGACAAAAATTGAAAGTATAGATCAACCTGATAAAACCTATACATGGTCCGAGAGCTAAAAACCTAATCATGTGAACAACTTGTAGCGAGTAAAATAGCAGTATCTTTCTCTTAAAGCTGCTGCAACTGCACCTAACTCCAACATTTATGAAGAGATGGTTGCGGTACATATTTTTATATTCTAAAATTTTCACCTATAAATTAGATTAAAATTCAGCAGTATATATTATCATGCAAGTGCTAGAAACTTGGATTGACAATAATGCAAGGTTAAGGATTTCCTTGTCAACAACCACCAAAATTAAGACAGGGATTTTCAGACTGAACACAACAATAATACAAAATCTAATCTGAAAATAACAAAAAGAGACGAAACAATAAAGCAAAAGAAAAGGGAAAGTCGGAGATTTCAGCTGCCTTTTACTAAAAATGTAGAGGAAAGGAATTTTAGAGAAGAAAACCAAACATGGCAAGCACAGATTTTCTTTAAAAAAAACACTACACTTTAACATGAGACTAACAAAAGGATATTCCATAACACTAATTGCAAAAAAAAATCGTGATATTAGATTTTTATTTAAATTAGATATAAGAACTGGCACAAAGAAAATCAAAGTACCAAAAAAGTCATGAGAAAGAGCACCAAAATATAAAAGGTCTCTGTGTAGAAATCACAGTCTACTAGAAAAAGTATACCCATAGGTAAAACCTAGATAACTCTTTCAAACAAGTGAAGCGAGGTTTTGCACCAATGCGCGAAAGGAATGTTCTACTTTTCATTTAAATTTGACAAAGAGCATCTATCGTTTTCAATGAAAACAATGAAAGCATGTGAAATAAAGGGAAGGAGCTAGGCTTCGAGCTGTGACAAAGGGCTATTTATTACCAGTTTGCGCTGGAAAACAGGTCTGAGTATTAAACTACATGACAAGAGTAAAATAATAAATCGAACAAGAGCAAAATTGGATTGTAAACGATTTGATTTCTAAGCTATGCACCAAAATCAACAATTGAGGCATAGAAGTTAGCATCAATAAAATTAACTCTTAAAGTAAATGTTCCAATAAATGTGTAAACTGATAAAGGATAGAATGGAGCATCACCCACAGAAAGAATATCAGAGCGAGAAATTTCCAGCTGCTGAAAGTGCAAAGAATTGTATCACCTACAACTAGCAAATTATAACACGGGAACTAAATTAGACATTAATCATCCAGAAATCAACTGCCGAGTAGCATTTAAAAATTAAAAAGAAAGCAAAATTTTCAACCAATGGCATTTCATTAGTAAACGAAATAGTATGGATATGTTATTATTTTGGCATATAGAAGTCGTGGGAAAAAATCCGCTACTTTTAAATAATGGAAACAAAATGGTCTTGGATGAGAAAATTGTTGATGCTCTCAACATTTTTATGAAAGAGGCATGATTAGCACTAATTGAAACAAAGAAATCCATGACTGATCATCTCCGGAACTGATAGGTCTCATAAGTCGGAATTAATCCTCAAAAAACGTAAGAAGATGTTCTTGAAAACAAATTAAGTAAGAAGACATAGATTGGAATTGGGAGCAAAAAACAAATGTAAATTCCCAAAATGTGAATATGATCTCCTTATCAATAACATCAAAAATGATCTGGGTTCTCAAATTATACATCGACACAGATAATCATGTTTTGAAATCACCAACATTGTCATCTATATGCAAAAACAAGACATGGGTCTCAGAAGTTATTACCAATTCGTCTCTTAAAACCTCTTTCAATGGAAACTCAAGCAATTTTTTATTCAGAAATCAGATAATGACCAACACATAATATGGGTTTTCAACCTACAACAAACTCACTAGTAAAAAAACAAAATGTCCTGTGCATTGATCATAATCTGGGTTTTGTGCAAAAACCCCAAATAGAGAAAAAGATGAGAGCTTTTCACCTTCAACAGATCGCAGCCTCGAAGAGGAGAAGTGAGAGTGAGAATGAGGGGGGCCTTCGTTATAAAGCACAAAAGAACAGGAAGATACATAGAACCTATCGAGAGAAAAATCTCAGAAATCTTACTAATTATACACTAAAAGACTGTTAAAAAAAATTTTAAAAATTAAAAATAATGGATTTTTAGGGCTACTAAGGTTGGCGCCCATTGGGATGAAATCGAACGCTCCCTCCAAAAGCGCCTAGAATCCCTTTTCCAGTCTTTATTTGCATATCTTATTCTTTATTACGCTAATGATTTTTTTATTCCTTATTAGGACATTGTGCGTGCGGGCAATTAAGGAAATGATTTTCTTACTTTGTTTGTTGTTACTAGCAAAATTAAATTATTCTTTTGTAAGAATTAAGATCTGCGAGAGGATAATAGAGGGAGCATTAAAGAAGAAGTAGTTGGGGTTTATAAATTTTTGGAAAAATTGGGTCAAAACCCCAAATCTGATTTTTCCATGGACCCAGCCCCCTGTACTTTGACACTAGTATATAAACTCATGGTCAATATCACCCTTATTTTTTTTAAAAGTATTACATTATTATCTTAATCTATTCTAATTATTCTATCTTCTTTGAATGGGTAATTAAATGATTTATCATATTCATAATGAGACTTAACATGTTATTGGATAAAAGATATACGTTTAATATAATTTAAATATTTTACTTATTTTAGTTCACAAATAAATCGTAAAAATATATGCTAGCCATTACCTAAAATTTTTGGACTTTGTAAAAAATATCCTCCAATCTTTTTAAATTGCAAAAACACCCCTACAAATTCAAAATTTTATTAAAACATCTTAAAAATTATAAATTTTACTTATTTCAATTTAGTGAGAAATATGAAAAATATATGCTAGCTAGAAACTGAAAGTTTTTTGACTATAGAGAAAATATATTGTAAGTTTTAAAAATTACAAAAACACCCCTTAAAATTCAAAATTTATAAAAAAAAACACCTTAAAAATTTCAAACTTCTAAACACACTAAAAACTACAAACAACACAAAGAACTTCCAAAAATTTATGGAATTTATAATAAACACACTGAACTTTTTACAAATTATAAAATAAAACCCTCAAAATTATAAAATGTATAAAAATATTGATAATTTTGAAACTAACAATACATTGAAAATAGGAATTTTTTTGTTTTAGACCTCTTAAGAAACATATTTTCAAAAATCAACCTATTTCAAAAATAATCGCCAATTTCAACCCAGGTTCAGCCAATTGGCTGAAACTGAGTCGAAATTGGTGAAAATGTTCTAAAACTTCACGAGATTTGAAATCCCGTGAAGATTAAACTTCATGAGATTTCAAATCTCGTTAAGTTTGCACACCAATTTTCACGTGATTAAACTCCAAAACCCCTTTCATGATAGCCACCCAATCACAACCCTATCAATAAACCCACCCAATCTCGAAACAAGATTCTCAGAGTAGTTCACACTAAGGCTCTGTTTGGCAAAAATAGCTGAAAGCTGCGAGATTATACCTGAAAGCTGTCAAGCTAGCTGAAAGCTGTGAAATTATAGTTCAAAGCTGATAGCTGTGTAGCTAGCTGATTGACTAGAGCTGTTTGGCAAAAGAAGCTGTACAACTAGCTTTGTGTAGCTAGCTGATTGACTAGAGCTGTTTGGCAAAAGAAGCTGTACAACTAGCTTAAATTTGTTAAATAACTAAAAAGGTCATGCAATATTATTGGTTTGGCAAAAGAAGCTGTACAACTAGCTTAAATTTGTTAAATAACTAAAAAGGTCATGCAATATTATTAATATAAAATTAAAATTATTAGGGGCAAAAACGGAAGAAAAAGGTTAACAGCTCCTTCCCAAAGACAAACGCTACTTGAGATAGCTTTCCAAAAGCTACTTGCAAAAGACACAATCTCTAAAATAATCTCCTCCTATTTTTGGTTACCAAACAGCTCTACTAGCTTATTGACCAAGTCAATAAGACACAAGCTTTTAGATAAGACACTTTTTTTGATTGCCAAACAGTGCCTAAGCTTCCTAGCTCTCAAGGCCCCCTTCAAAATCTCAGCAGCGACCCCTCTCCTGACCTCAATCGCCTTCCTAATCTCCTCCTCATCTCTCTTAAGAAATGCTCGATTGAGATCGATTGGGTACTGAATATGCTCGGGTTTGGGGAAATCGATGGATCCAGAGAACCTAACGATTCTTCGAGTCGCGAGAGATGCTTCCTCTACGATTCTCTTTCTCTGAAGCTCATCTTTGGCTAATTCTTCTTCTTGATCATCGTTGAGAGGTGCTGAGCCTTGGGAGTGGAGGAGGAAGAGAGACGTCGACTTGGCGTTCTGGCGACGGGAAAGATTGGAAGGGTTTAGGTTTCGATTATGGATGATATTTTATCTAATGATGTAGCGCTAATTTGGGAACGGATGAGATTTTATCGAGTTTATTGATAGGCTCTCTGGAGGTAAACTTCACGAAATTTGAAAATCCTGTGAAGTTAAAGTTCCACAGGATTTTAAATCCCATGAAGATTTCCCCCTCTTAACCATCTCATTAACAAATGGCTTAAAACTTCACAGGATTTCAAATCCCGTAAACTTTTTACAAATTATAAAATAAAACCCTCAAAATTATAAAATTTATAAAAATCTTAATAATTTCCAAACTAACAATACATTGAAAATATAAAAATTAAAATAATCCCCTACATAAGTTATAAAAAACACCCTTAAAGTCTGAAAAATTAAAAACAAGAACACGAAGTTCAAATTTTACAAAAAACACCCTGAGAATTTCAAACTCATTAGTAAATTAAAAACATAAAAATTATAAATAGTCTATAAATAATTTACTGTAGGCGTCTAAAAATGCCTATAGGTGTCCGCACACAGCTTGAGACAGAGAGAAGACGACAAACATCGTTATCCGAGTCTAAGAGGATTATCTGACGCCAACAAGCGCCTGAAGCAAAACGGCGAATCAAGTGACCTGTGTGCTCGACAGTCAGCTCGCGCGCGTCAATCAGTTCATGCGCGTCAATCAACACGTGCGCGTCAATTAGTTCATGCGCGTCGATCAACACGCGCGTGATAATCAGTTCGTGCACGTCGATCAACACGCGTGCGTCAATCAACACGCGCGTATATCAACCAACGTTTGTTCGACAGTCAATCTCGCGACAAAGCATACAAGTCAACAAATCGACCGAATACGTGACAAGAATAAGTCCCGTAAGAAAGAAAACAGAAAAGAGAAAAAGTCGGCGAACCCGCGCTAGCGCAGGACGGGATGATCCGACCCGCGCAAGCGCAGGATGGATCAATCCGACCCGCGCATGCGCGGGTCGGATGATTCCGACCCGCGCAAGCGCGGGTCGGATCTGACCGACCCGCGCAAGCGCGGGTCAGACCAGTCTGCCGCGCTGTTTTGACCCCCTGATGTGTATTTCGACGGTTTTAACGGTTTTCTCGAGATCTTTTTAGTTCCAGAGGTTCCCAACTGACTTGATATCATCTACAAACATGGTTAGGCCATTATTGACTAAAGATAAGACCAAATCACTTGTTCTCATCCAAATAATCGCTTCCGAAGCTTATAAATACGAGCCCGGGTCCTCCTTTCAGGGGGGACTTTTAGAGCCGAAACTCTGCCGAATTGAGAACTGAGCTTGGAGTTTTGAAGACTTGAAGACTTAGACATTCAGATCTGGTTCTTGGCGAGCATCCACGTCATAAAAGGCAGGAGTTCGAGAGAGAGAAATCAGATCTGAGAACTACACGAAGTAATACTCCGGATCAAAGCTTGGCCTTTGATCCCGAGAACTAAAGGCTATTATTTCCTTGGTGAAATAGTACCCCCCGGCTGTTATTTCCTTAGTGAGATAACACCCGTTATATCGTGTAGATCCGACCGGATCTAGATCACGCGGTAGTCCACGGATAAACCCCGTCGCAGGCGAAGAACCCACCAAAGCGAGTGACCGCAAAACAGGAGCTCGCGATTCGTTCGACAAATAAGGAAAGAATTGTAATTTTCTTTTTTATTTTTCTTTGATTTTGTTGTAACCGGATCTTATAAAAAGACCGGATCTTTTGTAATCGATAAACTATTACTCAAGAGTGCAATGGAATCAATGAAGAAAGCTACGATTTTTCCCGCGAACAAACTGGCGACCACAGTGGGAGTTTTGAGGATCTCGCTGCCAAGATCGATGTGTCGCAGCCGCGGATCTCGATCCCGGTCGAAGAGGAGGTCGAATATGAATTCGATCAATAGAAGTTCGAGGAGTATCTGTCATCCTCGTCCGGATCGACCTCCCCCCGTAAGTCCAAGAAGTTCTCCTCCAGGAGAAAGGTACGTTGGTACGAAGAAGTTGAAGCTACCAACGACGATCTCACCCCGATTGACGCCAAAGCTGCGTCGGGTGAGGCTCCACCAACCTCCAACCAGATCAAGCTGGTTCCAACCAATTCCTCCATCACCAAAGGAGCGGTGACTCTCTCAAAGAGAGCCCGCCAAAGGCGACGCCAACGCTTGGCCAAAGAATTCGCCAAAGCGATGGAGTCCACCGACGGAATCCGCTACAACGCGGATCTGAAGAACAAGAGAGGCAAACAGCCTCAGCAACAAATGAACGGCGCCCCTTCCAAGTCGCCAATGATGGAATGGATCCGTGTCAAACGGAATCGTTCGACGCTAGAAGAACGCATCCGCAAACGCCGCGCACTATCAGCGCAGGCACGGGTTCAAGCCGAAGAAGCCCGTCGGAAGTTGCAGAAAGAAATGGCCAAGAAGCCGCCACCAACTCGTAAGACGAGAGAGGCAAAGCTCCAGTCCAAGAACGTTTGGGCCCGATGAAGAAGCCCCGAACGACTTAACACGCTGGGGGTCGCCGTCACCTCCAACATGACAAAGAAATCAGGGCAGCTACGCGCACCAATTTGCGCATTGAAGTCCAAGAGCCCGCTGAGAACTCACGCCCAAAAAGGCATGTTTCGAGACGCGTGACTTTCGAAAGCCCAAAGAAGGCAGTTCACCCTCAGAAGGAAACATTATCATCTGATGACGATAATGTTATACCTAAGAAGTCGTGCCAACACACGATAGGTCAAGCAGACGAATTGTACTATCGTGCTGGGGGTACGAGTAAAACCAGGAAAATGAGTTCCCGAAGACTGGAAACTCAATGCCCCTGTTCCAAACTCATTCGGACAGTATTGTCTGAGTA